TGCTGGTGCCTTAATCTTAGACTTCCCAGCCTCTACAAGTGTGAGAAATAAATCTCTATTATTGATAAATTATTCACTCTCAGGTATTTCGTTATAGCAGTCTGAATAAACTAAGGGAACATCTAATAGAAGGAAGCCATTTATGGCTGCAAATTTACTGCTGGAAACCAACGCCTGGTGTGGATCCTCTGAAATACATGTAAGATTGGGTAGGAAAAGGGCACCTTTCTTTGCAATAAATCAACTTTCTTAGCTGAGTTACTCCGCATTCCCTGTCCCCTGGGAAAATGCAATAAAAACAGCATAAAATGTTTGGTACTGAAGAAAAAAATTTACCTGTTCAGTCTTTCTCTCCCTTGATTCTGCCACTATCCTGGGTACCTTGACCACCAGGGTGGAAAACCAAACCACAAGCTGGGCATTGTAGTACTACTTCTTGACTTCAACTCCAGTGACCTTTGCCTCCCCTGCATTTCAGTCCCCTACACCCACAGGCTGGGCGTCGTTACCACATAGAGCTGTTCCACGGTGTAACACTTGACCTCTAGGAACCTATTTGCTGACCACAAGCTCACATCTTCCCATCCCTTTCACGCCTTCCTGCACTCACACTCCACCTGCTTTTGTATTTCAGAGATTTCTAGGCCCTTGACACCACTTTTCTTTTTTTTTCTTTTTTTTTTGAGACACAGTCTTGTTCTGTCACCTAGGCTGGAGTGCACTGGCACAATCTCGGCTCACGGCAACCTCCACCTCCCCGGGTTCAAGCGATTCTCCTGCCTTAGCCTCCCGAGTAGCTGGGACTACAGGTGTGTGCCACCACGCACAGCTAAGGTTTTGTATTTTTAGTAGAGACGGGGTTTCTCCATGTTAGCCAGGATGGTCTCCATCTCCTGACCTAGTGCTCAGCCCACCTCAGCCTCCCAAAGTGCTGGGATTACAGGTGTGAGCCACCACGCCCGGCCTTTGACAACACATTTTCTCTATGCTGACAAACTAATCCACTCCTTCACCAAAATTCTTAATTCCTTTGTAACTCAATCCTTCTACCGCACACACCAAGTAACCTTCCCCTCTCTAGGGAAATGTCTGTGGCTTATTACTGAAGAAACTCAGAAAATCTTGCAAACTGATGTTACTCAATCCGTAGCTGCCGATTCCAATGGCGCAGACCTTCATCAGTCCTTCTGTTGGGGTTCTCAGTCAGCATCCCTCCTATACAAACTGGCAGTACTTTCCTCAAGCCCACATCATTCATTCGCTAGCTTGCCCTCTCCCTCCCTCCCAATTCAGTCTCTACCTGGCTCTCTCAAGGACTCCAGGATCTGGTCCCATCTACTTCTCCAGCCCCTCAAACTCCCAGTTTAACCTTCTCATAATCCAGAACTGCTTACAGTTCCCCATGAACACCAGCGGTAAAAGCATGGGCTCCAGACCTAGGTGCAAGTTCTAGTTCCACTGTTTGAGACCTCAGGCAAGTCAAGTAACATCTTTGAAACTAGGTGTTCTCTTTTACTTTCTTGGCACACAGAGGGGTACTTAATATGCCCTCAATAAAGTTAGATGTTGCTATGATGCTACTACCTGTGCTCCTCATACTGCCACCTCTGCCTGGAATGTCCTTTCTCCCTCTTTGCAAACTTTACCTGCCTAACAACTGACATTTCTCTTTTAAGATAATTCAGATACCATTTTAAGGAAGGTTTCAGTGAAAACCTCACTCTGACTCCCTAACTCTCTGACTGGGTTAAATGCCTCCTTTCTGTCTCCCAAGACAGACTGAAAGCCAACCCAGAGCAACAAACCATTTTTTTTTTTTTGAGACAGAGTCTCACTCTGTCGCCCAGGCTGGAGTGCAGTGGCGCGATCTCAGCTTACTGCAAGCTCTGCCTCCCGGGTTCAAACGATTCTCCTGCCTCAGCCTCCCAAGTAGCTGGGACTACAGGTGCGTGCCACCACACCTGGCTAATTTTTTTTTTGTATTTTAGTAGAGACAGGTCTGGTCTCCAGCTACTGACCTCAGGTGATCCACTCGCTCAGCCTCCCAAAGTGCTGGGATTACAGGTGTGAGCCACTGCGCCTGGCTAAGAAACCATTTTTTAAAACATTCCTCTATCTTCTAGCACAGAATCTGCTATAAAGTAGACAAAACAAATTGTTCAACTGAAGTCAAATTGTAAAGAACACCTCCACGTTCTCATCGTAAGAGATACAATTTTCTTACCACTGTGATGCACTAGAGCCCCATGCTCTATCTTCTTTTTCATGTCATAAATGTGAATTGTTTCATCTTTGCTCCCAGTGACCACAAAACGACTATTGACAGCTACTGCTGACAAGGAGGCAGTGTGAGCATGGTGAGTGAAGTCAGCCACAAGAGTCCATTGCTGTTGAAGATGAAAACATACAATGAATGCCACAGTCACACCACAGTTCTACCAACTATCCACTGGCAGTTTTCATGAATCATGGAACCATTTATCTGCTTCTGAAAAGATAAACTGTTCCACGATTCACGAAAACTATCAATGGATCCTATAAAGGGAAAAATGACATGTTAAACTACAAAATGACATGTAGTTTACACAAAGGACTTGAGACTTGATAAGGAAGGTAAAGCAAGGAGGTGGGCAGGCAACACTGGGTATCATCACTCTAGAACATGGTAATGGAGACTGGACAACAGAAGACTTTTAGATCCTACACAAAGCTTTAACTCTTTAATGTTGTTACTTTATATGTGAGACTTAATTTATTTTTTCAGATATTCAAATTTTTATTTGAATTTATTCTTTCAAATGATGAATGCCTACTATGTGTCTGGCACTATTCCAAGCAGTTGACATATAGCAGTGAACTGCGATTCTTCCACCTAAGCCTCCTGAGTAGCTGGGATTACAAGCACTAGCCATCATGCCCAGCTAATTTTGGTAGAGACGGGATTTCACCACGTTGGTCAGGCTGGCCTTGAACTCCTGACCTCAGGTGATCCACCTTCCTCGCCCTACCAAAGTGCTGGGATTACATGCGTGAGCCACCGCACCCGGCTGACAAGTCTTATAAAGAAAACCCAACAGAGTAAAGGTATGTTTCCATGAGTAACAACATAAGCCCTAGAGAATTACCAATAATGAAATCTCAGGAACTCTGTGCTTATTGCCATGAGAAGTCTGACTGGATGAGTGCAAAGCACGACAGCAAAATACACACACACACACACACACACACACACACACACTCCTTAAACTGAAGGAACTGCATCAAAAAGTATTTGCAAAACAAACCGAAAAAGAAAAAAACCCATCAAACTTCTCTGAACATGTGTCACTGCAAATTGGGTCCTTAATAATTACAGCAACAGATACTCCTTCCATCATTTAAGACCAAGGGGGCCTCCTTTGAATCAAGTATTCTTGCGGAGCTGCTACAGCCTTAAATCAAATAATAACCTTTTAAAATCCACATATTGTAGGTTATCTAGGCTGCTGCTTAGATTTAGTAGCAGTATAGGGTAATGGTTAAGAGTTTCAAATGTCAGAGACCCTTGGGGGCTCCTGACACTTTGGGGTCAGCTCTGCCAATTATTATCTGTGTGGCCTTCAGCAGTCACTTAACCTATCTAGGACCAACATTTTGGTTCCTCATCTGCAAAGCGAGAATAACTGCATCCTCCTCAGAGGGTTGCTGTGAGGCCTACTGTGTGTCAGGAACATAGTTAAGTAATTTCACTACAAAAAAAAAATTAGATAGTATCATCTTTGACTATTCAAAACACGTCACTTTTCAGCCAAAGACAGAGCAAATAACTGGAGTAGGAAACAAAATAAACAAAAGCAATAGGTCAAGTGATATACTTCCAAATTTTCTGGATAATTAAAGACGGACGCCTTGACTTCATAAAGAAGTACTGTACTCAATAAAACGGGTTTCTAGAAAATGCTTAGAATTGCTTCGACAATAAAAGTGAGCTAGACGTTAGGAGGTCGGATTTCTAGTCGTGAGTATAGTCCTATCTACCTATTTGACTACTGACAATTTATTGACCTTTTTATTTATTCACACATCTAGTAATACCATATTCTGCTGTAATTTCTCTCCATCTATGTGTCTCCTCAGTCCGCCATCCCTTATGTAGGGAACGTCTCTAAGGCACGATCCATACCTCTGGCATCTTTGCATCTCCACCGCCCAGCTCGCCATAAATTCCCAACAAATAACGAATTGGTATCGCTTTATCTATACGGGATTTATCCTAATCTAGATTTAGTCATTTGTAAAATTCCAGGACAGAAATTCAGCAAAAGAGCGAGATCTTCTTTCATTAAATTCTGAATACTGTCAACTTATGGGATCGATCCTTAAATCCACAATCTACGACTCATTTGTCCGTATGCAGAAATGCCGGTTTCCTCTGTGTCCCGTGGACCTTTTGTCTACTAGAAAAGGCAGATATTGTCTCATTTTGATAAAATATCCATTCTACATATTCAAAGGTTTGCTTTTCTCAAGTCTCTTAGGTTTCATTCACCAAATCATCCAGTGAACAGCAGGCGCTCCAATGTTTACCTCTGCTGTGCAGGAACCAAACCCGACCTTCCCGGCCCCGCCTCCGACTGTCTCTAGGTACGCGGTATCTCACCTCGTGGTCGCCGCACGCCTCGGACTCCGGGTGTACAGCGAACCCAAAGAGGACCTGCTCGTAGCAACCAGCGACCAGCTCCATTCAGCAGCGCACGTGCCTCGCCCGGCTCAGCCTGGAGGTGACAGAACCGGATGCCAAAAAAAAAAAAAAAAGTCTGAGTCCTTTTTGCATCGGCGCTCGAATTATACGTCAGGTTCCAGGGCTGCCTTTAAGTCTCCTGTAAACGTGGAAACACTTTCAGCGCGAGGAGGTCACATGGATTTCCCAAGAGGAGAATAAGTAAAGATGCCACATGAGAAGGTTCTCCCTGCAAGAAGAAAAAAATCGGGGGCAAGCAGGCATATCTCAGGAAGGTGCGAGCTGGGCCTGAGGGGAGCGGGCGGGACTTCCTCTACGAAGCCCCTCATCTCCGTGACGTCAGGAGGAGGCGGGGCCGACTTCCGGCCGGGTGGGTAGTGGCGCCGGCATCGCCTATTGTTGTGGGTTATGTACTACTAGGATAGAAGTTTTTGTTCAGGAAACAGCGGAACGAGCCTTTCTGTCGCTAACAGGGCAAGGAGGGGTGGGATTAGGGTTCGCGGTGACCTGTTCCAGCGGCGCAGCAGTCACTCTGCCTGGACGGACCCGGTGTGCTAGATGTGTCCGCGTTCCCGTCTGCCCGGGCCAGAATCCCCGCCCTGCACACTTTATCTGCCCGCTTGCCTAACTCTGGGGTTCTGTTGTCCAGGGTTGCGGCACCTCCTGGGGAGGGAGCAGTGAGCCTTGTTTTTTTTTTTTTTTCTGTTTTTTTTTTTTTTTTTTGAGACAAAGTTTCGCTCTTTTTGCCCAGGCTGGAGCGCAGTGGCGCGATGTCGGCTCACCGCAACCTCCGCCTCCCGGGTTCAAGCAGTTCTCCTGCCTCAGCCTCCCGAGTAGCTGGGATTACAGGCATGCGCCACCACGCCTGGCTAATTTTTATTTTTTGGTAGAAACAGGGTTTCTCCATGTTGGCCAGGCTGGTTTTGAACTCCCGACCTCAGGTGATCCGCCTGCTTCGACCTCCCAAAGTTGCTGCGATTATAGGCGTAAGCCACCGCGCCCGGCCAGAGCCTTCATGTGGAAGTTAGGAAGATAGAGTGAGCCTAAGCAACATATTTTGATGCCGTCTCTACAAAAATGTTTAAAAATCAGCTCGGCGTGGCGGCGCCCGCCTGTGTTCCCAGCAACTCGGAAGGCTGAGGTGGGATGATTGCTTGAGCCCAGGAGGCTGCAGTGAGCCTAGATCGTGCCACTGCACTCCAGCCTGGGGAACGAGCCAGACCCCGTTTCAAAGAAAAAAAAAGTCTTGTTTAATAAGGTTTAGAGATTCAGGTTTGTATTAGACATTACAGCTTTCCCACAAGCTCCGAACAGAGTAAATCTTGGTTCGTATAGTTCTCATAAACACTGTAGTAGGTCATTTGGTAAATGAGATGCATAGTCCATCCTTGTCAAATCTTAAGCCTCCATTTCAAGTGCAATACAGTGCTTCAGCGCTTAGACCCTTTTGTTTCCGATAACTTCTCTGGTATTCTGAATTGTCAGTACATGTTAATTAATAGAGGCCGGTTTGAATCTTGCGGAAATGATTTCACTTGGGATGCTTTGGTTGTCATTGCAGTGCAGGAAAGGCCTTGTCATCGTTAGAGATAGATAATCGGTGCCACGAAGAAAAAACACGGAGACAAAAGATCTCTCAGCAAGGTAATCTTTACTTTCTGCAGGAAGGGTGCTCAATTGCAGATGGACAATTGAGCGAGAGCACACCTGAACAAAGGCAAAGCAGACATACCTTACGCATTTGGGTTGTCCTTGCTGCCGTGTCCTGCATCCGTTGGCTGTAGCTGGACCTCATAATCTTAAACTGATACCCGATTGCTAAATAGGCTGTGAGCTGGAACGTGCCTGTGAGCATGCCCCACAGTTACATAGGATAGGGCTTAACAAAGAGTTATTAGCACAAGGCAAGGAGGCTTGAAGTCAGTCAGTCTTTAAAAGAAACTATTGTTTCTAACACTTAGGATTTATTCTTTAACAAGAAGGGAAACTTTGAAGAGGAAACTTTTTACTTCCTATATCATCTGCCAGCTTTGTCAAGGCCAAATGTAAGCACTTCTCAGACACTGAAATGCTGTTGACAAACTAATTTTCAGTCTAGTGGAAATCCTTGTATTAATTCACCCTTCTAAAATCATTCTTGGCTGGGTGCAGTGGCTCACGCCTGTAATTCCAGCACTTTGGGAGGCGAGGCGGGCGGATCACTTGAGGTCAGGACTCTGTCTTAAAAAAAAAAAAAGGCCGGACGCAGTGGCTCACGCCTGTAATCCCAGCACTTTCACGAGGTCAAGAGATCGAGGATCGAGACCATCCTGACCAACATGGTGAAACCCCTTCTCTACTAAAAATACAAAAATTAGCTGGATGTGGTGGTGTGTGCCTATAGTCCCAGCTGCTCGGGAGGGTGAGGCAGGAGAATCGCTTGAACTAGAGAGGTGGAGGTTGCAGTGAGCTGAGATCCCACCACTGCACTACAAGGTGGGCAACAGAGTGAGACTCTGTCTCAAAAAAAAAAAAAAAAGGCATTCTTTCTTTCACTCTGTACTAGTTATCTTCATTGTGTTACAAAAAGTCAAATTATTTTACGATTTAGATTACTTTTTTTGTAATGTGTAACTTTCCACCAGAGAACCACTAAGATTAGAGGAGTGTGAAGTGAGTGTCCTCTGGACATTAGACTAGATATTAATAAGCAGGACTCGTTGTTGTTGTTTTGAGACAGAGTCTCGCTCTGTTGCCCAGGCTGGAGTGCAGTGGCGCCATCTCAGCTCACTGCAAGCTCTGCCTCAGGTTCACGCCGTTCTCCTGCCTCAGCCTCCCTAGTAGCTGGGACTACAGGTGCCTGTTGCCACATCGAGCTAATTTTTTGTGTTTTTAGTAGAGATGGGGTTTCACCGTGTTAGCCAGGATGGTCTCGATCTCCTGACCTTGTGATCCACCCACCTCAGCCTCCCAAAGTGCTGGGATAACAGGCATGAGCCATGGCGCCCTGCGGGACATTTTAAGTTTCACATTTTATCTTTAAAAATGTGCCTTTATGCATTTTACTCCACAACATATCTGTTCATATTAATGCAAAAGTATTATGCTCTCAGCCAAAAATTTTTTAAAAAACACTAAAACTTTCAAAATCATGTTTTGTATATTGTTACTTCTGGAATGTCCCTGGTGCCCTGTCTCCTTACCCTAGGGACATCTCAACAGCTGTTTGAGAAGTATTAATATTTGTTTAATACTTTTTAAAAATAAATTTTAGCTTATCACCATAAAAAGGTGATTATTTAGAATCTGTTACCAGGCTGTCACGCTTTTACTTGCTTAAGTAACTTTTGTTCCAACCAGGAATTTTAGAATATAGTTGGTTCTAGAATGGAAACCATGGTGTAAGTACCATGAACATAACTCAAAGTGGTTTTACTTTAAAAAGAAAAAAAAACAAAAAAGAAAACCCCCAAAAACTTAGAAATCAGTGGAACCAATTATAGAGCTCAGAGAACTTAGACAACATCTAGTCCAGGTGTTACTAATCTGGGGGTTCTGGATCAGTTTCAGGGGTTTTGAATCCCATGAAATTATATGCAAATATGTGGATATACATTTTTGGAGGAGCGCATTAAAATTTTAAGGGAGGAGACCACCCCTCCTATTGTCTTACGCCCAATTTCTGCCTCCAAAGAAAGAAGAAGTAAAAACTAAAAGGCAGAAATGAAATCCAAAGACAGCCCGGCGCCACACCCTGGGCCTGGTAAAGATCGACCCCTAACCTAATTGGTTATGTTATCTGTAGATTACAGATATTGTATAGAAAAGCACTGTGAAAATCCCTGTCCTGTCCTGTCCTGTTCCGTTCTAATTACCGGTGCATGCAGTACCCCCTGCTTGCTCAATCTACCACGACCCTCTCACACGGACCTTAGAGTTGTGAGCCTTTAAAGAGACAGGAATTGCTCACTCCAGGAGCTCGGTTGTTGGAGACATGAGTCTTGCCGAAGCTCCGGGCGAATAAAGCCCTTCTTTCTTTAACTTGGTGTCTGCAGGGTTTTGTCTGCGGCTTGTCCTGCTACAATTTAAGTACTGTTTCAAAAAGATTAGTTTAAAGGTACCTCATTAAGGGTAAAATGCAGTGATTCACTCTTAGGTTTAGTCTCAGGTTATAAACGCTGAGCTATGTCTGGAGAAGTGACTTTTTCAAGAACACACAGCTAAACAACAGAGCCAGTAATGCTGCTCTTTTTTTATGTGTCCTCGGCCTTGAACATTCTCTTTAACAGAGGGGAAAGCAGCAGCATTTCATTTTATGCATGGCTGTGGCAGTAGTTTCAGATCTTAGATCGTGGATTTTCATTGTCTGAAGAAAGACAATGGAGAATTATATATCTGTTTAACTGGATTTGACCTGAGCATAACTTCCCATAAACCCTTCTATTCCCTTTCTAAACACAGGATGTAAAAAGCCATTTAATCTCATTCTTGTGAAATCTGCAGTTGCCAAGAAACAACCAATGTTGAGAGTTCATTAATCAACACTAAAGCAAGAGAGGATTATATTGTTTTGTAGCTTTGTTTGTAAATTATTGATTGAAAAGATTTTTGCACTTGAGCTATGCTCTGATTCATTCGTTCATTCAACAAGTATTTGTTGAGTGCCTAGCTTTGGTTTGCTAAAGTAAAAGCTAGTTTTTCTTCTTGGGTGGCGAGGGTGGTAAGGTGGATATCCTGGGGTAAAAGCAGGATACGTTAGAGAAAAAGCCCTGTTAGAAATACCACGAGAATCTCATATTCCTGCTGAATTCCCCTCCTTTCTCAGTGCGGCAGGTAGCAACTCTTAAATTCAAGGACTATGGGGGTTGCGTGTGAATGTATTCCTGGAGGTTTTGGTCTCCTTTGTATTTCCCAGCACGAAGGGAAGTGGAGATAATGCTGTACTTGCCCTGAACCTGTCCAGTAGTGTGCCCTGATAGAAATTTGCTTCACCCACTTCATGGGATTAATCTAGTTGAAACAGAAGGTTTGCATTTGGGGCTTTTAGCGAGCAGAACATCGCTTGTGAGTCCTTGTTACTGTCATCTCCAAGGCCTAAGTGTCCATCTTTACCCTGGGATCTTGCTTACAACCTTCTGTTCCATAGCTGCTGCCATCTTCCTAGGTGGTTTCAACATGATTACATCGACCTCTGTCTTCCTCAGCCTCCTTACCACCTCCTCAGTGTTCAACTTCCACGTTCCTTTCCAACTGCAGCCTCAACGCTTACCTGGTCATAGCTATAATTGTGATTTTCTTTGTGTAAAATAAAGTCAGTCCTAAAATGAGAGAAGTAAAAAAAAAATTTTACAGAAAAAGAATCTTTAACTGACATGTTTTATTGGCTGTCTAAGCTATAGTAGTTAGGAATTGTATTTTACCTGACATAACGATAGTGGTCTAAACAAGACATTAAGTAAAATAAACAAGCGGTAGGCCAATCTAGTGCTAGTGGAAGGAGTCCTTAGTCGTCAGTGACCCAGACTCATTCTGTCTTGGATCCCAGTATTCTTCTGCATGACTTCTTCCCTGATGTCACCTCAGTCCAAGATAGCTGCAGAGTTATTCTTTTTTTTTTTTTTTTCGAGACAGAGTCTCACTTTGTCCCCCAGGCAGTGGCGCGATCTCGGCTCACTGCAAGCTCCGCCTCCCGGGTTCATGCCATTCTCCTACTTCAGCCTCCTGAGTAGCTGGGACTATAGGAGCCCACCACCACGCCCGGCTAATTTTTTTGTATTTATATAGAGACGGGGTTTCACCGTGTTAGCCAGGATGGTCTCGATCTCCTGACCTCGTGGTCCACCCGCCTCGGCCTCCCACAGTGCTGGGATTACAGGCGTGATCCACCGCGCCTGGCAGCTGCAGTTATTCTGACACAAACCATCGTATTTGTAATCATAGCACCAGACCTGGGGAGAGGGGAGAAGACAGAAAGGCCCCTTTCCAGCTAAGCAAATACCATTTTCCCACACAGCTTTCCCCTATCCCCTTCTACTAGTTCTGTTTACATCTTCTTAGCCGGACTGACCACCTGGCCACATCTTGCTGCAAGGGAGAAGCTAGGAAATGTAATGTTTTAGCTTGGGCCTATTGCTAGCCCAAGTGAAATCAGAATTGTTATTAAGGAAGAAAATAAACCCATATTGGGTGGCACTTAACAATGTCTGCCACAGCTGCTAATCAGTAAAATCTCCCTTGAAGACATGTGGAAATCCACTCCATATAAACTCCAGTATATCATCAATGCTAGTTGCCTTGCCTTGCCTTGCAGATACCATCGGCCCTCAGAGTCTGTGGGTTCTGCATCCCTGGATTCAACCAATCGTGGGCTGAAAATACTTGGGAGGCAGGACACGGTGGCTCACGCCCGTAATCCCAGCACTTTGGGAGGCCAAAGCAAGCAGATCTCCTGAGGTCAGAAGTTTGAGACCAGCCTGGCCAACATGGTGAAACCCCGTCTCTACTAAAAATTAGCCAGGCATGATGGTGGGCGCCTGTAATCCCAGCTACTGGGGAGGCTGAGGCAAGAGAATCATTTGTACATGGAAGGCAGAGGTTGCAGTGAGGCGAGGTCATGCCACTGCCCTCCAGCCTGGGCAACATGGTGAAACCCTGTCTCTACTAAAAATACAGAAATTAGCCAGGCGTGGTGGCAGGTGCCTGTAATCCCAGCTACTGGGGAGGGTGAGGCAGCAGAATCACTTGAACCTGGGAGGTGGAGGTTGCAGTGAGCCAAGATCACACCACTGTACTCCAGCCTGGGTGACAGAGGGAGACTCCATCTCAGAAGAAAAAAGAAAGAAAGAAAAGAAAAAGAAAACCCAAAACTCAAAAAGTTTCAAAAAGTAAAACCTGAATTTGCCACATGCCGGAAACTACTGGTGAAGCCACATGAAGTAATATATAGCCATTGCATTAGATATTATAAGTAATCTAGACAGAATTTAAGGTTTATGGGAGGGAGGGTGTGTGTAGGTTCTTTGCAAACACTACACCATTTTATACTTGGGCATCCAAGGATTTGGGTATCTGAGGGGGATCCTGTAAACAATCTCATATGGATATGGAGGGATGAGTGTAGTAATGGCTCCACAACTGGTGAATGATTGAATGATCTGAATGTTTTGAATTCATCATGTTTGCTATTTTTCACATTATAGGTAAATAGAAAATACATTAAGAACTTAGTTATTAGCAAGCTGCAGGGAAATGGCCAAACCCTAAGTGCCCCATATGGACTTAAAAGTTATCCGGAATTTTGACACTGTGTAACCTTGCTACTTAAAGTGGTGGGAGCTGGCTAATAAAGGCAGAATCTGAGGCTCCACTCCAAATCTGTCAAGTTAGAGAACCTACATTTTAAACAAGTCCAGGTCATTTGAATGCACATCGAAGTTTGGGAAGCTTTATCATGCTTTTTAAAAAAAATACTGAACCAGAGAAATATTTCTTTAAAATTGTATCCTGTACTACTCTCATTAATGTAGGGTGTAAGAGAAAAGGAAGAGAGGAGGGAAGGGAGCGAGGGAGCACATTCTTCTCTGCCTCTTAATTTTGTAGCTAGTTGGATGATGCTTTCCACCTGCATGGGATTAAGAAAAGAAAAAGCCAGTAGGTGCTAGTTCCAATAGTTACTTTCAGCAGGTAGCTGAGGAGAGAAATGTATTTGTCTTAAGGTTTTAGTTACTAAAGTTTCCTCTTTTTTGTGTTGTGGTAAGGGGTGGAGTGGAGACTATCCTTCATTGTCAACCAACACACCTACCCCTTCTGTCCCTCCTTGGGGTTCTGCTGACTCCCCCTGGCCTGACGGTTGGTAGAGAGGGCTGGCAGGTGGAAGCCAGAAATTCCCCCAGGTGCCTCAGTACACCCCTCCCCCACCCACACCTTTGCCCCGTTTGTCAGGAAAGTCAAGCAATTAATTGCCTAGCAGGAATTGCCACTAAATGTAATTCTCTCAGATGTAGTTGCGAGACTTACTTGTCAGGGTTGAGAGGTTTTAGCCCACAAGCTGGAATTTTTGATGCGGGAATAAAAACTGGATTCTGCTCTCTTTTTGTAAAGTTTCTGGATAAATGGCCCAACGAGAGAGTTTTGCAGGTTTTGGCATAGCTCAACAAAATAACTATTACTGCTACTGGCAAAGGTGAGTGTTTTTCTCCTACTTTGAAAAGGAAAGCTGTTACTGTTCTGTTTGCTATATAATTGTTGGTAACTTACGAACTATGGCTTTTTAAAAATTTATTTAAGTTCCTTGGTACAGATACAGAATGTGCAGGTTTGTTACATAGGTATACATGTGCCATGGTGGTTTGCTGCACCCATCAACCCGTCATCTACATTAGGTATCAAACTATGGCTTTGAACACAGGTGTTCAATTTATTGCAAACTTCCTGGAGAAAAGAAAGGGTTTGGGGGTTTGTGGATGATTCTGCATTGGTTGGTGACGATTCTCATTCCTGTAGTCTCCCCTCTGCTATTAGAGTGAAGCAGGAGTTCCAGCCCAACCAGGGTTACCTCTATGGCAACTGGTATGCGCGACAGCACAGCTCATACCTTCTTTCTGGCTACAGCTATGGCTGTGCAGTGGATGGAAATGGACGGGACTGTTTTTCTGCGCATAAGACTCCTGAACACACAGCTGGAATTCTGGTTATGCCTAAGGTATCCCTTGCTGGAATGAGTCTTGTGTCATTTGTGTGCCCAATAATAAACATCACTTTCCTATCTACACACATCTGTGTCTTGTCATCCAAATTCCCACAGCATGGCTTTTGCTACCTGTTTAATACTAGAGAGTAAAGCTGATAGCCTAAGAAAAATTTTTTATAGCTTTGTTGAGGTATAATACACAAAAAGTCTCTGTACATGTTTAATTTATATGCTTTGCTGAGTTTGGACATGTGTAACCTAGAAGTGTTCACTTGCAGATAATTTCCCATTCTCTTCCAGAAACAAAACAAAAGCCTAATGAAGTCTTTGTCTAAATTCTTGCTACTAAATTTTAGATTATCATAATTCAATATATTTTACTCTTTAACACTTAATATAGGACAAAAGGTAGTTTTGGGGTTTGTTTTATAGCAGTTGGACATAAATACACTTTAAAAAGATATTTTAATAGTTTGAATTACTGAAGTGACATATTTCTCAAATCACACAAAGATGTATTGAAGTGAGGGAAAAGTTCCTCCTCAAACACCCCTCCTTCTTCCCCATTCCCCTCCCACTTAGAAGAAAGTACTGTGGAGTGGATGTGTGTCTTCTAGATCTTTCTCCTGTACTATTGCTCAATCAGTGTGGTTCGTCTTTCTGTTTTGGTGGTTAGGGGATGATTTAGGCAAGAATGAACTATGTAGTATATACTGGTTTTCTTTGCTTCTGCATAAGGAGACCTTTCTTTAAAAAATTGCACACTTATGGTCTGGGCAAGATGGCTCACGCGGGTAGTCCCAGCTACTTGGGAGACTGAGGCAGGATGGTCACTTGAGCTCGGGAGTTTGAGGCTGCAGTGAGCCATGACTGTGCCATTGTACTCCAGCCTGAGCAATAGAGTGAGCTCATTTAGACATAGTGTGATTTTTAGCTCATCCGTTATCTGACATTTTAAATATTTTCAGGGCTTTAACAAACTTTTTTACTTATCTTCAAGCATTTGTCTGAGTGTTGCTTTTTTCCCCCAAGAATATATTTCTGGATGTGAAAGGGCTGGATTAAAGGATATAACATTAAAAATTTTTAATAGCAAATTACCTAAAGTCTGCATGAATTTGTACTTTTCATTATTGTGGTGGGTGTTCTTGCTACTCTACATTTCTCTGTGTATGATTAGCCAATCTAATAGGGCAGAGAGGCATTTGTCTATTATTGAGGGCAAATACCTCTTGAAATGTTTATTGGCATCTGTGTTCTGTGACTTTCATATCCTCTTTCTAGTTTTTCTGTTGAGTTATGTCCCTCTTGCTTGACTGCGTAAGATATTCACATGTTAGAGAAATTAACATTTTGGAGTTTAAATGTTACGGACTTCCCCCACCCTGGCTTGTCTCCTAATATTCGGAGTGACACCGTTTGTGTGATCTTTGCCTTAAAACCGAAGTTGAATTTTATATCTAGTCCCTTGGCTTTTAAAACTTACATTTGCTTTATATTATGATATTTTACGCCCAAACTTGCGTTTTCAATTTTTCTCAAGTCTGTTTTAGTTGTGCCTCTTGTATAAAATATCTTGTTAGATTTCTTGTCATTTTTTCCCCCTTTTGACCCAATTTGGGTTTTTCCCTTTTAACAAATGTTTGATATTGCAGCACTTAAAAAACAAAAATCTTTCACTACATTGCCTGAGGTTTTGGCACTCTTTTTTTTTTTTTTTTTCTTTCGCCTCTTCCCTTTTTGCTCTTTTTTGGGAGACAGTGTCTTTTGGTGGTTACCCTTATATCATTAAATAGAGAAGTATAAGAATGAGTATATTATCAACTTCAGAAACGAAAGTATTTCTTGATTTTTCATCACTCTTGAGAAAATTAAGAAATGAATATCCTTTTTTTCTCACCTGGCTACCCTTTCTCTCCATTCCTCTGTCCATTTTTTGTTGGCATATTCTGGAATTTTTATCTCACCCTCTAGCCAAATTATTACTATAACATGCATTTTTTTCGTATAAGAATTATAGAAATATATTATCTTTTGTGGTTGTGGTGACCCCACTGTGCCATCTGCCTGCCATCCTGCTGGGTGTTCCCTGTTGGGAAGCTGCTGAGCAGAATTAAAGATGATAAGGCTCCGTGGTGGCGCTCTTTTACTCACACGTCCCCGTTTTGGTCTTCTCTAATAAAGCGTGTCCTCTCCAAGATGTCCTAGTTCTTCCCTGCTTCCCCCAATGTGCTGTGCCTCTGTCCATAACCTTTATCTCCCCAGGTTAAAGGGGAGATCTCCAGCCCTCTCCTTTACATTTTGACATTGTGGAGGTGGGTGTCTCCAAAGTGATTCTCAGGTCTTTGTGGTCCATCAGCATGCTTTCCCAGACTATATCTAGCTGAGGAAAGCCTTTTATAAATGTGCTTTTGTTTAAAGGCAGCCAGCTGCATACACAGCGCAGGTGGCCCTCAGACCAGAGAGAATGCTCTGTCTCCAGATAGTTCCTGCTTCCCTCATCCTGGTTATTTAGCATCCACATTTACCAGAACACACATTGAAAGGAGGAAATGTGAGCTTACTTAGTCTTGTATTATAGGAGAGGACTTATGGAAGTGTGGATTCTGGGTGTTTTAGCCATTTCTTTCTTTCCTTCTTATATAACTAGTTTTTAGAAATGATGTCTTGCTCTTTTGCCCAGGCTAGAGTACAGTGGTGCCATCATAACTCACTGCAGTCTTGATCTCCTGGGTTCAAGTGGTCCTCCTGCTTCCAAGTAGCTGAGACTATCGGCTGCATGCCACCATGCCTGGTGTCTTAGCCATATCTAAGTAGAAAAAAGACACAGATTGTCTTTTGAAATTTATGGTAACTATATAACCTATTTTCCAAACCTCAATATATTTCAGAGTGAAGAGGAGGCATACTTTCAGATAGACTGAAAAGTCTTTGGCTCTTAGTATCTTGTCATTCTTATTAGCAAGAGAAGCTTAATTAGGTGCCAGGAGCTAGATCAGCCCTTTCTTGATAGAATGATTCCTTGGAATAGCTGGCCATCCTTAAAAATACAGGTTCCCAACAGGTCTACATAGAGGAATCATAAAAACATATGCTGCCCCAGTAGAGCCAACAGGCTCTGGGTTAACCAGCCAAGATTTACTTTGGGAGTGCCTCTGCAGTTTACTTCTCTCATTATGTAAGAATATGATTGGTTTGCTTTGCTGTAGCCTCTGCATTTTCTTGAGCACCTAATGTCCTGGTTCTTAGCTGAGCCATGGGTTTGAGGACGTGATTAGAAGGCCATGAGGAAAACGTGTTCATGGAGACTTTACAGATTGTCTTCTGGAAGGAGGAGCAGGACTCGAGGTACAGGCATGTAGTACAGGAAATAAGGAGCCTGGATTCCAGGGTCCCTGCTGTCTGGTTCCTAGCTCAGGCTCTAGGATGCTAGTTAGGTCCCAGAAAATCCAGGGGCCAGAGGCCCTTGTTAGGCTGGCTCCTCTTTGTGACATTTCTTCTGTGACTCAGTTTACTTCTTTCATAATTGTACTGTCACCTAAAGATTCTTGGAATCAAATTCAAAAGTTGATTTAAAGAGATTAATTTTTAATATTTTTATTTTAGGTAGTTTTTTTAAGAGCTAGAGTTTTTCCCAATGAAGTATATATTGATATTAAACCTTTAAGTGAAATTATTTTCTCATGAGATAATTTTTTTGTTGCAGGAAACCACACCTCTAGCTGAAAACCAAGATGAAGACCCACTAGAAGGTAACATAAACCTTGTACTGAAGTGGTTGGAAACAAAACCCCATTTCCTGGTTTCTCATTCACTCAGCTTGCTAGAAACTGGGAGGTTCTATTGGAAAATTCCAATGTAGGTTGCCTAAGCCATATGCTTCAGTAATTTCTCTTGTTTTTAGAAACTGGTTCTATGGGAACAACTTTAGCTGAACCACCTCTTTGGGTCTTTCTGAAGGACTGAGAAAAGGGGACATTCCCAAACAATAACAAGCCAATACATTTTTCTTAAGCTCCATTTCCTCTATAAGTTTAGACTTTGAGGAAAATTATGCTTTAATTCTGTTTTTCAAGTGTGGAGAGCATGAGGTAATTGCTGTGGCCTCAGGATTATTGGATCCTGGGGTACCCGATAGGATGGCACTGTAGTGTCAGTCTGTGTGGTGCTTCCTGTACTTCTCAATTTGTTTTGGAAAGAACAAAGTTTGTCTGCCTGGGGACAAACACTCTGAATGTGTCTTATTTGAGGAAGGGAAAAAATGTTTTCTTCTTTTACTTTAAGTAATGGGAAAGAAAACTAGAGGAGAAATACAGAGAACACTATTGCCTTTTTCTTATCACATGTCTGTCTTATCACACTTGTCTCGTTTCTCTCTCTTGCCCAAACCCCTGCCCCTACCAGACAAACCCACCCACTGCCTTATGACTTTATCAAAGAAGGGAGCATGTTGTTATCAGTCTTTGTAGCCCCTGTGACTAATTCAGAGTTCGCATGTTGGTAGGTGCTCAGTGTTTACATCAAATTGGTGTTGAAAAGAAATCTTCATATGCTATTGAGCAGTTCTATTTTTAGTACTTTGATTTAAACATGAGTAAAGGGTGCTTATTTAAACTTTCTGGGATTTCTTTCAGGTTAAGTGTGAGTCTCTTCCTGCCTTCATCAGTTATGCAATTTATTAAAATTGATGCAGGATTTCTTCCTCCTTAGTTCAGCTAAATCTGGGTCCTTGTCTCACAACCAGGAAAAATTAGGCATGCGAACACATTGAAGGGTGAGGAGAATGGAATTAATTAAGCAAAAGGAAAGCTCTTAACAAAAAAGAGGGATCCAAAACACAGGTTTCCACCTCACAAATTGAATACCAGGCTGCCACACACAAGTTGAAAAGGCCAGGCTCCTCCCCTGCATAAGGTGTGAATTCCTGGTGGCTCCTCCTCATTCTTCCAGTGTGCATGTGGGCCCTTAGTCTGAGCCACTCCACATTGATTTATTTCCCTTACTACACATGTGTTAAGGGATGGAATTTTTCACTGTGGGCATGTTTAGCCAAACCCCTGTGCACAATGACTTGGGCAGGTTGGAGGTTCTTCAGGGACCCTTCCCTATTTGCCTAGGCATTTGGCTGTCCCCTGTCTCTATCAAAATAATAGAGGTAAAGGTCTGCTTTTGGGATACAGACTGCCACGGGGTTCAGATCCCACCTACTAGCTCTGTAGTTCCAGACAAATTAATCTCTAGTGTGTCTGCTTCACTTTCTGTAAAGTGAGGACATTGTTACCTTTCTCATAGGAAGTGTGGGCATGCTAGGTCTAAAGTACTTTTAGGTGGTTAAACAGCTTCTGCCATGTGATAACCACTCAAGTATTGGCTGGTCATCAATCTGGCACAGTACTGGTCAGTAGAAATGTAATGCAATTGCACCTCAAGGAACTAGAAGACGAGAACAAAGTAAACCCAAAATTAGTAGGAGAAAAGAAATAATAAAGACTATAGCAAAAATAAATAGAAACTAGAAAAACAATACAAAAGATCAATGAAATGAAGGGTTGATTTCTTTAAAAGATAGTCAACAAACCTTTAAGAACAAAAGAAACTCAAAATCAGATGAAAAAGGAGACATTACAACTGATACCACATAAATACAAAGGAACATAAAAGACAATTATAAACAATTATACATCAGTAAATTCGATAACATAGAAGAAATGAGTAAATTCCTGGACACATAGAATCTACTACCTACCAAGATTAAATTATGAAGAAATGGAAAACCTAAACAGACCAATAATGAGGAAGGAATTGAAACAGTAATAAAAAGTCTCCCATCAGGCCAGGCCTGGTGGATAATGCCTGTAATCCCAAGCACTTTGGGAGGCTGATGGGGGAGGATCATTTGAGTCCAGGGGCTTGAGACCAGCCTTGGCAATACAGTGAGACCTTATTTCTACCAAAAATTTTTAAAAAAACTAGGTATAGTAGTATGTGCCTGTAGTCCCAAATATTTGAGAGGCTGAGGTAGGAGGATTACCTGTGCCCAGGACGTCGAGGCTTAAGTGAGCTATGAATGTGCCACTGCATGTCAGCCTGGGTGACAGAGTGAGACCCTGTCTCAAAAAGTCTCCCATCAAAGAAAAGCCCAGGTCCTGATGGCTGGCTTCACTGTTTAATTCTACTAAACATTTATTTTTCATTTTATTTTTTGTAGAGGTGGAGTCTCACTTTGTTGCTCAGGTTAGTCTCAAACTCTTGGGCTTAAGCGATCCTCCCAGCTCTGCCTCCCCAAGGGTTGGAATTACAGGTTGGAATTACAGTTACCATGCCCGGCCCCCAAACATTTAAAGAAGAACTAATGCCACATCTTAAACTACTCCAAAAAATCGAAGATGAAATACGTTGAAACTCATTTTATGAAGCCAGCATTACTCTGATATCACAACCAGAAAAGGACACAACAAGAAAAAACTACAGCCAGTACTCCTGATGAACATAGATGCAAAGGTCCCCAACAAAATACTAGCAAACTGAATTCAATAGCGCAATAACAAAATCATCTGTCATGAACAAGTGGTATTCATCCCAGGGATGCAAGGATGGTTTAATATACACGAATTAATAAACATGATACATCCCATTATCCCATCAACAGAATGAAGGACAAAAAACATTATTTTTCTTTTCTTGTCTTTTTTTTTTTCCTTTTTGTGGAGAACGGGGTCTCGCTATATTACCCAGGCAGGTCTCGAACTCCTGGGCTCAAGCTATCCTCCCGCCTCTGCCTCCCTGAGAGCTGGGATTACAGGCGTGAGCCACCGCGCCCGGCCTATTTTTCTTTTCTTTCTTTTCTTTTTTTTTCTGGAGATAGGGTCTCATTCTGTCACCCAGGTTGGAGTGCAGTGGTGTGATCTTGGCTGCAACTTCTGCCTCCTAGGCTCAACCAATCTTCCCATCTCAGCCTCCCAAGTAGCTGGGACCACAGGTGCATGCCACCATGCCCAGCTAATTTTTTGTATTTTTGGTAGAGACAGGGTTTCGCCATGTTGCCCAAGCTGGTCTTGAACTCAGCTCAGGTAATCTGCCTGCCTCAGCCTCCCAGAGTTCTGGGATTTACAGGCATGAGCAACTGCTCTTGGCAATCATTTCAGTAGATGCAGAAAAATCATTTGACAAAATTCAGTATCTCTTCATGATAAAAACTTTCAACAAATTAGGTATAAAAGAAGTGTACCTCAATACAATAGAGGCCATATAACAAACTCACAGCTAACATTGCACTGAACGGGGAAAAATTGAAAGCTTTTCCTCTATGATCTGAAACCAGATAAGGATGCCCCCTTTCACTACTTCTATTCAACGTAATAGAAGTAACCATAATAGTCTAGCCAGAGCAATTAGGCAAGAGGGAGAAATAAAAGGTTCCCAGGTTGGAAGGGAAGAAGTGAAATTGTCCTTGTTTGATGATGACATGATGTGATATACAGGCATACCTCATTTTATTGTACTTCACTTTATTATGTTCCACAGATACTATGTGTTTTTTTTTTTTTTTTTTTTTTTTACAAATTAGAAGTTTATGGCAGCCCTGAACTGAGCAAGTGTATCTGTGCCATTTTCCCAACAGTATGTGCTCATTTTGTTAGCACTGTTTAGCAATAAGTTATTTTTTTCTTTTCTTTTTTTTTTCTTTTTTTTTTTTTGGAGACAGTCTTACTCTTTGTCACCCAGGCTGGAGTGCAGTGGCATGATCTCGGGTCACTGCAACCTCCGTCTCCGGGTTCAAGCGATTATTCTGCCTCAGCCTCCTGAGTAGCTGGGATTAGAGGCACCTACCACCACACCCGGCTAATTTTTGTATTTTTAGTAGAGACAGAGTTTCGCCATGTTGGCCAATCTGGTCTTGAACTCCTGACATCAGGTGATCCACCCACCTCGGCCTCCTAAAGTGCTGGAATTGCAGGCGTGAGCCACCGTGCCCGACAGCAATAAACTATTTCTTAAGGTAATTACATTGTAAACAAATTTATTCTTTTTGTTTTTTTATTTTTATTTTTGAGATGGAGTCTTGCTCTGTTGCCAGGCTGGAGCACAGTGGCACGATCTCTGCTCACTGTAATCTCCGCCTCCTGGGTTCAAGTGATTCCCCTGCCTCAGCCTCCCAAGTAGCTGGGACTATAGGCGTGCACCACCATGCCTGGCTAATTTTTTGTATTTTAGTAGAGGTGGGGTTTCACCATGTTCGCCAGGATGGTCTCAATCTCCTGACCTCGTGATCTGCCTGCCTCAGCCTCCCAAAGTGTGGGGATTAGAGGCGTGAGCCACTGTGCCTGGCCAAATTTGTTCTTTAAAAAAAATTTTTTTAAATAGAGACAAGGTCTTACTATGTTGCCAGGCTGGTGTAGAACTCCTGAGCTCAAGTGATTCTCCAGCCTCGGCTTCCCAAAGTACTGGGATTACAGGCATGAGCCACCATGCCCGGCCAATATAAACAACTTTTATATGCACTGGGAAACCAAAAAATTCATGTGACTTGCTTCATTGCAATATTCATTTTACTGCAGTGGTTAGGAACTAAACCTGCAATATCTCCAAGGTACGCCTGTAAAGAAAATCCTACAGACTCTGCCAAAAAACTGTTAGGTCTAATAAACTTATTAGTTTTGTATCCTGTTACTTTACTACACAAAATTGTTTCTATACACTAATAACTATTTGAAAAAGATAACAAAAAAATAATCCCATTTACAATAGCTTT